CTCAGAATTCTGGATTTTTTTTTAATCCATTCATGATTACATTCATGGAAAACAACAGTGTGAACATTCTGCTAAATATCTCCTTCCATGGAAGAAACAAAATCATACAGGTTTGGAACAACATATGAGTAAATGACAATGGAGTTTTCATTTTTCAGGGTGAATTATTCATTTAACTTCAACACAAAATAAAAAACATATTTACTTTATTAATGCATGTTGCTGCAGATTCATCTGTGCTAAATATCTATTTAAGCAAATTCACATTTGTTCTGGCTCTATTAAGATATTCCAGGCCCACTTTTTACGATCCAAACAATTCCTGATGGATAAAATCAAGCTTCGCTCTCATGAACATCCTGAGGAATACATCAAATTACAGAAGCAGGGTTGAATCCAGCAATTTATGTTGCCTTCAAAAGGCTTCATCACTCTTTGCAATCACAGATAAAGAGTAAAAGGTCACAAGCTAAAATGAAAGACGTTTTGTGACTATGCCGAATATTATGATATCTGTGTTAAGATGAGATAAGACACCTCAACCAAACGCTGTTGCACTATCAACGGAAGTCTTTCATCTGCAAGCATACCACGATCACACACTTTTTCAGGAATCCTTTATAAAAAGTAGTCTGTGGGCGAGGTGAGTAAAGCTAAAGACAGGAAGTCGGCTGTGAGAGGTGTTGTTCTTATGAGAGGAACATAGACGGAGTTTAGGGGGGGCTGGGGGGGCACTGCCCCCCAGACGAGAGCCAATAATGATTTTGTCTGAGCTATGAATAAAATATAAAAATTAAAGAATTCAAATTTTCTCTTTTTATTTGTATTATCTTATTATTTTTGTGGTTAGAATAAGTAAGTTTTGGGCTAAATTAATTATTAAATTAGCCCATATCCTTGCGAGTCACAAATGATTCTCAACTTGAGAGGACATGAGAGGACTCTCTTTTCGTTATTTTCCTGATTTAGCAAGTTAACAAATATTCTTTGTTTTTTTTTATAAACCTGCTAATAAAAATGTGGTCGACAGAGTCATTTCTGGCTGAATTGCACAGGTGATTTGAAGCGATGGCCTTGAGTGTGGCGTGTCATGCAGTATTCAGTTTAACCATGTACGCAATCCTTAAAGGGTTAGTTCACCCAAAAATTTAAATTGGCTTGTGTTTTACTCACCCTCGAAGCATCCTAGGTGTATATGACTTTCTTCTTTCAGACGAAGCCAGTCGGAGTTATATTAAAAATTGTCCTGGCTATTCCAAGCTCTATCATTGCAGTTAGCGGGTGTTGCAGTTGAACAGTCCACAAGCTGTCAAATAAAGCATGCGCATTCATAATAAAACGTGCTTCACATGGCTCTGGGGGTAGAATAAAGGCCTTCTGTAGTGAATCCATGTGTTTTTGTAAGAAAAATATCCATATTTCAAACGTAATAAACACTTTTATATCACTTCCGCCAACTGTCATGTGCGGAAGCCGTGTCGGCGGATGACGCAGCACGTCGGCGTTGCGTGCTTAGTGACGAATGCGGAGAGACAACAAAATAAAACGCCGGACACGAATTAGAAGTACAAACCGAAGATTTGCAAAGAAAAATGTCGGAGGATTTCGATATAAGCCAAGAGGAGACTGGTTTTTCTTTGCAAAAGTAAGGAAACTTTGTGTCCTTTGCTCCTATAAACAAACTCGCGAGACTAGCATATCTCAGAGGCGTGCACGCTGCGCATACATCATACGCCTTCAGCCAATTGTAATTTTTGGGTGAACTAACCCTTTAAGATTCACCCTCGGCTTGTGACAGCTGAAATGGATCTTGTGAAATGTGCGATCGCATCGCCGATTACATTTGAGAAACTTAAAGATGAAGTAGGCTATGGATGGACAAATATCGACTACTGCAGTTTGCACTGACGCTGCCCATTGGTTCGGCTACATCAGAAAGTTTCTCAGTTATGAGGAGAATCTGGCTCTGATCTTCAGTGGCACAGGACAGATTCTCAGATCTTTCTTACTGCACATAGAGAACAATTTGACTGAAAAACTATTTAAAAATGAAGGACTGTGGAAGCAATCTTCATTATAATGAATCATCAGCACAGGGTCTGCCGTGTGCTTATGGTGAGGCGTTATCAGCGACACACTCGGGCGACTGTCTCGCTCATAAATGGAACACATTATTTTCATTACAGGCCGGCGCACATATTGCTAATTAAGAGGCCCATCTGCAGTGAGCAGAGAGAAGAAGAAAGAGCAGGAGAAGAATGGCTGTGGTGGAAAGTCACAAGGCTGAAGACAGACAGCAAGGACTGGAGGACCAGACTTTGAATATTAATACGACATGTTATGGACCTCCATGAATACAAACCGCATCCATCCATCATGTCAAAAACAATACGGTTCTTCCCATCATTTCTCACCCTGAACTCCAAAGCTGGGTTTCAGCAAGACATAAGATATAGGGCCTGTTTCATATCAAACGAAAACATTATATAATGTAATTTACATAATATACAATTCAGAAGTTTGGGGTCAACAAGATTTTTGTTTTGGAAAGTAATGAATCATTTTATTCCGAAAGGACGCAAAAGTGACAAAGGCATTCATGATGTTACAAAATATTTCTATTTCAAATAAATACAGAGTTTTGGCATGAAACTCTAGATGGCGCAGTCTGATAGGTCTAGCTCAATCTGACCTGGCGACATCATTGTCACATGGCAGCTGATTGGTTCTCTCCTGTATCGGTAGCCAATGAGCTCACTTCTCAATATTCAAATACCTGGCTTTTGTTTGCTGTAGCAGTTGGCAGCGCACTTCAGACACCCTTCACCTTCCCCAGCTCCACCTGTATAGATCTGCTACGGGGTGATTAATGTATGCTATATGGGGGTTATTCATATGTGTTATATGTGCAGCAGCAGTATTTCTTACATGCTTACAGCAGCATGTTGTGGATGTATTGACAGTAGCAAGTCTCAGTACTTGTTCTGCCGCAGCAGCGTAGCAGATCTGTTCCGCCAAGACCAAATACATTAACATTGTCATGTACATTACCATGCCAATCTCTCCGAGAGTTGTCATGACAGAAATGCTGTTCTTTTGAACTTTCTATTCATCAAAGATTCTGAATTCACAGATTCCACAAAAATATTAAGCAGCACAACGGTTTTCAACAATGATAATAATAGGAAATGTTTCTTGAGCAGCAAATCAACATATTAGAATGATTTCTGAAGGATCATGTGACACTGAAGACATGAGTAATGATGCTTTGCCATCATAAGAATAAATTACTTTTTAAAATGTATTCAAACTGAAAAAATTTAAATTGTAATAATATTTTACAACATAACTGTTTTACTGTATTTTTGATCCAATAAAGGCAGCGGACTTCTTTCAACATTAAAGAAAAAAAAAACTTCCCAACCCCAAACTTTTGAACAGCACTGTATATTATAAGGAGGTCAATGATACCTGGAGAAAGTTGTCCATTCATCTCAACAACAGCTGGTCAATGGTGCAGGGGTTAACAGGGCCACGCTAACCAGCTAAACCTTGACCCTGTGTGGATTTATGGTATTTATTATACAACACATAGCAATTAAAAGATTTAACACACTTTAAAACATCATAATACATAGCAAAACGGTTGACCTCACTGAAATACCGTGATAATTTGGTTCTAATTTAGTAGTATTATGTCTTAAAACACTCACCAAGATTGATTTTTTTTTTTTAAATGTTGGTGTGATCACTAGAATTGCATTACGATCAACCTATATACACAACTGAAATGCAGTACTTCATGTCCAGTTAAAACTGTTAGAACATCTAAAACCACTACAAAAACACTAGCCAATCTTACACCAACTTGAATAATTTATGAAATAATGAAAATACGGATAAATATACTCAGTATGTGTGCAAGCTCTCTCAGGAGGGTTTTTAAAACGCCAAGTAACTGTTCACAGAAATGTAAACAGAAATGTTTTCCTCAGTGGAATGGAACTCTTGAATTGTCAACAGTGGAAAAGTCATTCATAGGAAATCTCACATCGTTGACAAGAGGACAGCTGGTCTCCGCCATTTGTCATTGTTCAGAGCAGTCCAAGAGGAAATGTTGCCTTTCACATCCTGAGAGGGTCTTTGAACCCCTTGTCTTTTAATGGCCCAGTCAGTCAGGTAGCACTGTATGTTCCCGTAGAAGCAACTTTAGTACTTTCTTTGTAAGACAAATGTTAGACAAGAGCCCTGTATAAATACTCAGATCGATTACACGTTTCTTCCTTTCTTTCTATTTTAAAGGTACACCAAGTAATTATAATTAAATATGTCTGGAATAGCATGCTACCATACTCCTCTTCCTACTTTTGTGGCATGCATGCTAAATGTAAATTGTACAAATTTTCTGTACGCTTGGAATAGCCAGGTGACACATTATATTTTCTAAAATGTGTAACATACAGTACACCACTTTAAAATAGTCTAGTTTCCATAATGCAATACTTATTTTTAATCCTCTTAATATTTAACAAATAACAAATAATTATTTGACCAACCTACTAACAGTTAAAGTGTTTTAATATTACATTTAATTAAAAATGTAAAATAAATTTTTTTATTTCTAACAACAGGAAGTGATAAAAACTGCTGATTAAAAACAAAGAAATACACTACCATTCAAAAGTTTGGGGTTGGTAAGAGCTAATGCTCATCGAGGCTGGATTTACTTGTTTACAAATTTTGGAATGTGTGTAAATCATCAGAAAAAATTAATGATACAGCGACGTAGTAAATTTGTGTCATTGCATAATGTTAATGGTTTCACTTTGCTTTCACACATCTATGAAGACTATGAAAAAAGGAGTTGGTGCACTTTTAAATATCTGGCATATTGACTAAAGATGGTTTTCAGATCAAAGGATCAAACGGCAAGACTCTAAAAAAAATGTTTTAATGACATTACGAATGATTCTTTCTTTTTTTTGTTTATAATAAAAATAATAATAAAAATGCCTATATACAATCATCTCCACTGAGAATGAGTTTAAGTGTTTCGTTCTCTGATCTAACAGTTTTTACTGTCCCTGTGTGTGTCGAGGCGCCCGTGCTCTCCCCTGCTGCTCTGCCCCAGGTGTGTACCGCCATTTGGGTGCCATTCCCTTGAGTTTCTTCCTCTTCCTGTCAGACACGCACCACACCTTCTCACAGTACTGCTCCACCCGCTGGAAGTTGTTGTAGCCGATCAGCTGCATGAAATCCTTGTACCAGAGCTTTGAGGAGGATGGAGCGGAGGGCAGGCTGGGGAAGGGGCAGGGTGGAGGTCTGTGTGCAGAATCGCCTTCCTCCCCTTTATGCAATAAAGCCTCCACTTTGCCCTCATCCAGCACATCCAAAGTAACACGCACCACCGTCTGGACGAAGCCATGCTCTGTGGACTGGCACACGTAGACTCCTGCATCTCCCTTTGCTATTTTAAGGAGCAACAGGCCATGGGGGATTTGAATCACACGATCATCGCCTTTCACCTGAGGGAGGGAAGGAGAGAAACAACATGCAAAGGACATTATCAAATTTGTGTACTTAGCTTGCTAGGATGCTAGAGTGTTCTGGCTGGTTTCTAGGCTCAAAAAAAATCCACTTCCATCCTTCAATATAAGCATATGCAGTGTTGGGGGGTAACACATTACAAGTAACCCGAGCTACATAATCAGACTACTTTTTTCAAGTAACTATTAAAGTAACACATTACTTTTAAATTTACAACAAAATATCTGAGTTACTTTTTTAAATAAGTAAAGCAAGTTACTTCGTTTTCCCATTTATTCACTGACACCTCTCCTGTTGGTGCAGAGACACATCCTTCAGCCAGGCTTATTCATTTCACTTGTGGAGTGAAAGGACCTTTACAGTTGTCGAAAATACAACCTTTGGGTTTTCTGTTATCAAAAACAAGCAAACAATTCCAGCCCAGGTGACAAAAATTTACACGAAAGTAATGTAATGCATTACTTAACGTAAAAAGTAAAGCAATTAGTTAATTTATGGACTGACACAATATTGTAATGCATTACTTTCAAAAGTAACTTTCCCCAACACTGTTTATCTTTTCTATCATTCACCAGGTGAAAAATCGTAATTCTGATCGCTTAGAAAAGTAACAGTACTCTTCCCTTTAACCCACATGACTTGAGGTATAATTATGCATTATATGTGAAAATAGAATACGTTTGGGAGTCCGTTCTAATCCCTAACCTCAAGTTAAAGCAACTGTAATAGTGATGCTCTCCTTAGCTAATATTACCAATACATGTGCCATTATTTAAAGTCTAATTTACCAGAGATGTCTTGGAGCACAGAGATGGTCAGAGTGACATTATTATTTTCTATTTGAGATGAACTGAATCACTGGGGGCTATATTACCCAGCCTCCCTGTGGTCAGAATAGTCAAATGAAGCTTTAATCTATATTTAACAGCCCTCTCTCAGCAAGTGTTCAGACCATAGCTTGTGATGAAATAATTTCTGAGCTTAACCATGTGAGAAGAGCTCTATATTATCCAAGTAAACTCTGCACATTATATGATTAAATATGATAAAAATAAATATTAATATGTTTTAATTTTTATGAATGTGGAATATACACACACACACACACACACACACACGTAATCATACAATTTTTTAAAAAGTTATCTCAGGGTTAGGGATCGGGTAACTATTATGTAATTTAATGTAATGTAATATAATTATATGATTATATATTATGGAGGAAAAATTATTTATTTTATATAAATTATTTATCCTTTTTTCCTTCTATAATTATAAAAATAAATACAATTAGAGGTTAGGTTAGTCTTATAATACAATGCAGTACAACACAATACAATACTATACTATACTATACTAATAATTCATTTTATTTAAAACAATAAAAGTCTGTATGTTCTAGATGCAAGCTTTGTACCTCCTCCATGTCCACACCATGTTGAATATACCATGTTACAGATGCCTGCAGTGATCGTGGTCTGCACTCCAGTAGGGTGCTATTATTCTCCACACCATATACAAGCTTTTCTGAGATGCTTTGTTCTTCTGTAACACACACACACACACACACACACACACACACACACACTGAACAGCTTAGTCCAATACATTGATGCAACATAATTCAAACTTGTGTCAACTGTTGACATTGTGTTTTCATTTTTCATTGCTCTCAGTAAACACAGTCTCACATGCAAGAAATCCATAGATTTTGCTCATGGCGGAGATTCCGGTAGGTATCTAAACACACAATCTGAATACTCACGCATCTTGTGAACAGACACTGTCAGGATTAAAAGGAATAGAGATTTTTATAATATGTTCTGCAATGGAGCTCAATGGTACAGTTGTGGAAGTGAAAGAAATCTTTGAAATAGAAATGCTCTGTAAAAAAGTAAAAGTCTTTTGTCTTTTGACTGTCAATTTAATGTGTGTTTGCTGAATAAATATATAATATATAAAAATAATTATACATTATATATAAATATATTTTAACTTGTGTGTTTTTCTCTAGTTATTCTTATATTGTACAGCATGTTGTTCAACCTTGGGTATTTTTAAATGTGCTTTTATAAATAAACATAGATTGACTTATAAATAAAATAGTTTATTTCTTTACAAACAAACAAACAAAAATTGTACTGACTTTTGATGGAAGGATATATCTGAATATTTTGCCACCAAATATAAAACATGCTGTGCTTATAATCAATTACTAAATTATGGTTAACAGATTAGGGATTATAGTTTATACCTCTTAGTTCATTCCACCATAAACAATGTTAATACAAATCGCTAAAAATGGAGAAGTTTTGACTTTTTCCCCAAAAAAATTTCAATACATTTTAGCTTCAAATCGAATGTTGTAATGTTTAATTTCAGAGTTTATGTTGGATGTAGATTTGAGTCAAGCTGCAATGCCTATGGAGAAAAAGAATGGGGAAAATACTTCCGGAATAAAGGCCGCTTTGGAATTGGGACATCATTGTCACGCTCTATTGTAATATACTGTGATGTCTGTCTGCTAAAGTAAAAGCACCATCTGCGCATAAAGAGCCAGAGACTCTCATTAACTGTACTCTGACCTCTTCAACTTTCACAGATCTCATCCGCCTCATTTTCCCCTATAAAGCTTCTAAGACTCTAATATCCTCCATTCAAGCTCTTGCAAGAACATACCGCTAAGCTGAAGCCCGTTGCACTGCTGAACCGCGTTGCCATGGCGGATGTCTTGCCGTCGGAAGCGCCTAAAGAATAAAAGAGAAAAATTAGGCATTGATATAACACAGACACAGCCTGCTATATATAAAACTCAATTCGAGGGTGAGTAAATAATGACAATTTATATTTTTGGGGGGAACTATCTCTTTAAGGCTTTATTTTCTGTAAAGCTGCTCTGGAACAATACAGCATGTACCATGAAAAGTGCTATACAAATAAATATGACTTGACTAAATATAAGCTATACATTTATTATATATCTATATAAAATTGTTGGTACCTTTTTGTATACTGCCCAGCAGGGTAGTACCGGGAACATGTCAACCCGTCCCATGCACAGTAGGGGTCTCTGGCCAGGCAGCAGTCGGCACAGGCTGAACCGTACAGCCCACACTGGTGTACACGGATCTGTGTTACACCAAGCTCAGAGCCAACGTACAGCTGTTGCTATGGAGATACAAACACTGCTGTCAGCCGCTTTGCTACAGGTGATGAATGCCATTATGTCCAAATCATCACGTTAGCATAATGATGCAGATAAAACCATTCTACTGAATTGCCCATTATTTGTGTGCATTCTAAATAATTCAATATATTACACTCTAAAAAATGCTGGGTTAAATGTAACCCATCACTGGGTTAAAAAGGGACAAACCCAGCTATTGGGTTGTTTTGACCCAGTGGTTGGGTTGTTTTGGGTTATATTTAACCCAGCATTTTTTTAGAGTGTACAGTTATAACACAGAACAAAAGATGCTCATATTTGATTCATAATATTAACTAATGACTGCAAGAATTAATAATTAACTATGAAGCATCTGACTTGTTATAAATGCTGAATTTGCCATAGGTATAAAGGTGATCACTCATGCATTAAATGTTTACTCAATACCACCATCTCCAGGTGTCTGTGAGGACTAACTAACAAAGACTTACTCGTTTAGTAGAGATGAGGATCTCCGTAATAGGAACAGGGACCTAGAATGAGAAGAAAAGTGGTAAGTGTGAAGATTGTTGGAAATGAAATGGTATCAATATAAAGATAAAAAGTCACCCAAAGGACTTCTGATGACCTTGAAAACCTGTAATTCCTCCAGAAGAACTTCTTCAACTGTGTCAGCTTCTTTGTTGTAGATTGTGATCATTTTTAATACTACAGAATCATCTGAGTTAAAGAGAAAGGCGACCTGAATTATGCACTGATAAAATACATTTTATATACTTTTTTGTAATGTTCCTGAAAGAAGTCTCTTATGCTCACTAAGAATGCATTTATGTGATCAACAATACAGTAAAAAGTGTAATATTGTGAAACATTTGCACAATATAATAAAGTAACTGTTTTCTATTTTAATATATTTTAGAATGTAATTTATTATTGCGGTGATGCAAAGCTGAATTTTCAGCATCATAACTCCAGTCTTCAGTGTCACATGATCCTTCAGAAATCATTCTAATATGCTGATTTAAGATAAGATGGTGAAGTAACATTTCTAATCATTATCTTTTCAATATTATATTATTAATTATTGTTGAACAGTTGTGCTGCTTTGTGTGTTTGTGGAAACCATGATACAGATCTTTCAGGATTCTTCGAAGAACAGAAAGTTCAACAGAATTGATTTCTTTAAAATAGGAATCTTTTGTAAAAGTATGTCTTAACTGTCACTTTTGATTAATTAAATGCATTCTTGCTGAATAAAAGTATGAATTTCTTTAAAAAAAATAAACATAAATAATCATACAAACCCCAAACAGTAGTGTATTTCTGTTAAAATAATGTCAGTTTTCTAGAAATGCAATAGCCTATAGTTGGCCGTTGAGCCACAAAACTAGAAAATATTGTATTGCTATTGTTAGACATAAAAACAAGCTGCTGCAAATATTTAGTATGACAAAAGCAACAATCATTACATAAAGCCTATATGACAATATAGGTACTAAAATTGAGTACCAGTCCCTATGAAGAGAACATTGTAGTGTCCGTCCTCAGCTTCCACTCGGTCCACAGCCAGCTGTGTGAGTTTACGTCCTCCTTCAGTGTCCAGCAGTATGGGCCGTCTGTGAACGGGCTGCACCGCCTGGAACATGAGGGGATGAGAACGCACAAAACGCAGAACCTCATCCGGATACTCCTTTGAACTGGAAAACTGGCCTCCATTTATCTTACTGACACACTGTGAGAGACAAAAATCAGTAAATATGAATACAGATTGAACCGAGTTCCCCAAGTCACTAAACAATTTCAGGTCTTTCATTTTGTTGCTCCGGATCTGAGAATATCCCGCCTGCTTCTCGCTGCTATAACCTTTTAGAACAAGAGACCGATCAGAAATCCTGCGGTGCACGACTAAAGCTACCAAATTGCCTTTTAAAAGGTCAGCTCTCAGAGACATACTTTTTCATATGCTTTCCCCAAGAATAACCACACATGGAAATTGAAGAATTGAGACAAATTCGGAGATGTGAACAACGGATATACCCTGCTTCTTCAAAATGAGACGAGACACAACACACCAGAGAAAATGACTGGGAGTTACACATCATTACTAACTATTGGAAACCAATCTTACTCTTTTGTCGGCTGGAGATGAATAGCCAGAGAAGGACATTAATCAGCACATATCAGATATGATTATAATTCATACTACGGCAATTTAAACACCCTCGATTTCACAGTACCTCCATAAGTGCTCGGCTTCAGGCATTAACGTTAAAGAACTGGCATGACACGCTCGAGGAGAATAGTGATGTGCACAGTCATGCTGTAAATAGACTCATCTACCATGAGAGAGATTGTGTGTGTCTGAAGAAATAAGATCCAAAATTCAACATTCACTCAAGTGGGCCTCCAATGACACTGTGTGTCAGAGGTGTAAACGCAACACGCCGTGACATTTTGTATATTGGGATTTCTGATATAACAAAATGATGACACAAAGTGACTGATGGACCCAATATACAAGCAAATATTACTCACCGATCCAGGTCGTGGGTAGGGGACCCTGCCATCGTACACTTTCCAGTGGTGGTCAGTCCGTTCCCGGTGTGCAAAAGGCCCATTAAACGCTGCACGGATGTCTTCCATGTTATACATGCACACTGCGTATCCTTTAAACACGGCACTGAGTGAAAAAACAGGTGCAGATGAGCGTCCAGGCAGCTGTCCATCAAAATAAACTGAGAATATAAAAGTATATATTGCTCTGTTCAGTGACACATGTGACCTCACCCACCTGGTGGTGCTAAACAGACCAAAGATCTCTGGATTTTTCTCATCTTTCTTCCGTAGCACGAACACATCCTCTAAAATGACACATAGATACACACAAAAATGTATTGTCATCAAATCAACATGAAATTGTGCTAAGCATAATTTTACAGTATGTTGTTGGATCAACATCCTTTGTTGGGCCTAGAACAACATCATTCATAATCAGTCAGTGCCCTCTGATTTAGAGTAAATGTTAGGGACTGGTTGATAGGCAGGGACATTAATCCAGGTGTACCAGAATTTGAAACTTATTTCCTAGAGCAGATATTCCCAACTTTTTTGTCAGCTGAAATTATTTGACCTATAACATATTTACTTGAGGTAGTCCTTAAGGTTTCCAGTTAATATATTTAAATCATTGAAAAACACATTTGCATATTCAAATTTATCTGATGTTGGTTAGTGGTCACAAAACATGTTGGTAAACAAATAAAATATTTAAAGGCACAATATGTAAGATGTTTTTATTAAAACATCCAAAAACCACTAGAACAGTGTTATATATTTTGCTGACTTGTGTACTTACATTATCCCCAATGTTTCGAAGAATGTTTAAATCCAGAGAAATAAGCAATTTTAACTAGTGACACAGACCGTGTCCATAGTGTCATTGTGTCGCCTGCCAATGACGTCATAACCCCTCGATTTCCGGTTATGTTTTGTAGAAAACATGGAAACACCAAAGACGCTTTATGTTGTGCGTTTTATTAGACAGGTGACGACCACACAGAGTAGCATTATAACAGAACTTTCAAATGTATCTAGTATGATAAAACAGCGCTGGTTTATCCCACATAAACACGACCGGAAGGAGCAGAAGCGCTAAAGTGTGGCATAATAAAAGCTCTGCTGCTTTCGAGCCGTGTGTCACTCTCGTCTCTCATTAGCAATTGCTTCAGCGGCCTCGTTTCGCTTTGACGGCTTTCCATCTCACTCTGTTTCATACTATGTTAATAAATCTTTAATACATTAGCTCATCCATGAACATGATTTCTGATGAGTCCCGTCGGATTGCGTCGGCTGTGGGGAGGAAGACCACAACTCCCATGATTCCACACTCAGTCACGGTGTCATCAAACTGCGCCTTTGTTTCTTTGTTTGTTTTGAATATGCGCCCTCTAGTGGTGAAAACTTACATATTGTACCTTTAATCTTAAAACCTTTTTTTTATTCTTTATTATACATTTATATATATATATATATATAAACATTTTCCAAAATTTTCCATTTCCATGATTTAACTATTAGATTTTACATCAACTCACAGACAAAACACCAGGGATTTGTGAACATCAATTTGGGAAACTCTGACTTCAAGAATTCAAATGTATTTATTTATTTATTTTCATTCTATTCTATTTTTAAATCAAAGATCAATAAGATAACACTGCTTTCCTGTAACTCACAGTAGAGCATAATGCTAGAAACACCAAGGCCATGGGTTCAATTCTAGGGAAAGCAAGAACTGATAAAATGTGTACCTTGAATGCAATACAAGTTACTTTGGATAAAATTGTCAGCCAAATGCATTAATATAAAAGTTTCTTTACACATTTTACAAAAATGACAACGCGAAATAAACATAGTTCCATCTTGCACTTTACATCTTTGGAACAGATGAGGTGTTTAATAAGATGTCAGTGCAGAAACAAATGAGCTTTCATCTGAAAGTCAAAGGGCCCATCAGAGAGATCCTCCAAGATTACAAAGTTTGGTGATGGTTAAACAGCACAGCTGGTAAAACAGATTTGTATTTTCAGTTCACACAGCTGGTTTATACTGTGAAGACATGGAGATCTATTACAAATTCATCTGGATGGACAGATACATGGATGGATGGATACCTGATGAAATCTCTATGAAAATACGAAAAGCAAAAACGGACTTATCAGCAGTTTTGCTCTGAGGCATCTGATGAATAGAATCACTGAGCGGGAAGAAACTGCTCATCTGAAGCTAAAACTGCAGTTTTTCTTTTTTCTTCTTCTTTTTTTGTGCTATTGTGGCCATTTCAGTCAAGCGGCCCTACGTTGATGGATTCCAGATACAGCTCAGAATATAACAGTGACTTCCTATGTATATTACCAACACAAGAGCTAAATCAAACGTTGCATACTATCTTCTCTATATAGTAAGCAATATTACGGTATTGCATCACAAATATGTCAGAGCTAACCAGATGACAGACTGTTTATGGTTCATTTTACAGCAGCTCAAACAGCAGGGCAAGGCACTAGCAATGTCAAGAACATGGGTTTGATTCCCAGGGAAAGAAAGAAGTGAAAACCTCGAATGCATTGTATGTCGCTTTAGATAAAAACGTGTACCAAATGAGTAAATGTAAATGCAATTTTATTTGTATGTGTAAGTGCAAGCATATATGTATATGTGCAAACTTTATGGGCTAATATCACTCACAATCCCTCGCACTACAGAATAAGATGAGCCTGAGATGTTAAAAATGCTTACAGTACACATCAAAAACACAATTTTAGTCCTAGTACTGATTACCAGTGTAATATGTTCTCCATATCATAAACAAGCTACAAAGTTTTCAAGTAGAGTGAAACTAAACAAATGAGGTTTCATCCCATATCTTGCATTATCTTTAGAAATCGCAATTATCTGCAGAAATCCCAATCCCATGATGAAGTGGGTGAACTACTTTCATGGTTTCAGACAGGCATGAAAAAGAACATTGGAGAGGAAGACAGAGAGTAGTATGTCCCCTACCGAGCTCATCAAAGTGTGTGTCAATGCCGTTGGGTCCAGCCACTGAGCAGATCAAACGAGTCTTCAGGAAAGAGCTCCATCTGTTTACCAGCATCCTCTGACCACCCTGGTCATTCTGACAGCGGGAAGAGATAAAAAGACACTTAATTTCACCTGACCTATGGGTGGTGCTGTCTTGCAGCAAAACATTTTGACAGACAAAAAGCATTTGGCCAGTGCTTGGCTGGTTAGCTTCAGAAATGAATCCCCAGCTGGTCGACGCCCTTATGGAGCAAAATTTGCACCACTATGGGAGCAAAAAGCATCGTTCTTCATTGAAAACCATTAAAAAAAGTTGTGTATTTCGACTAAATTTTTTGCAAGCATTTCATTACATTATAATGTTTTGCCAGAAGTTGCTTATACTGTAGTTTCCCTGTCTGTTGCTTTTGATGTCACTGGATAGCCATGATGAAGACACACAATCAGTGTTGACGTCATTGGCATTTATGAAAAAAACTGGTTAAAATGTTTTTCTCTATGAGTCTAGGGTCCCTGCATCAGCATTATCAACTGAGATAAAGAGGAAAGTAGGGCTGTCAAAATGGCTGAAAAACAAAATTAGAATTTTGTGCTTGAATATGATCAAAATTCGAATTATATTCGAATTTAAAATGCATAATTTCAGATAGGGTAAAGAAAAGCTTTTGGCTTTTCTCCTGAGGCCACAAGAGAGCGCATCGAGCATAAGATAACATGACTATCTGTGAAAAAAAGTGCATAATGTTTAAAATAATGTTTATAAACCAATTATAATTAAGTTGCTTAAACAACTATAAAAAAACCACATCATGTATGTATTCATAGTTTAATACAAAGGGCCGAAAGCCAATCACACAGAGTACATTTTTCATTTAAAAACACGAGTTGCAGTGGGATGGGGAAAAAACCCGCCATTAAGTCTTGAGATGTTTTTTTCAAAGTTGAACTTGCATTAATTTTACATGGCTTTCTAAACATGCGGTTCTCTTGTGCGAGACGCAAGTGCAAAGGTGATAGATGTCCCTCTAGAAAATGCGAAATATGCGTTTCTGTGTGAACGGCTTGGTTTTAGTTTTGACGTAAACAAGATCTTCTCCGCATTGATGTTCTCTTTCCCCGCAATATTTGTAATTAACAACGCAGCAGCGCCACATCTAGTGGCTTCTGGATAGGCTAGCAAAAACATTAAAATGCAATGACACTTACATCGTCATCACATCTCGTGCACCACTAATAAGGCTGCCTCCTTAACACACACCTACAATTCGAATGCAATGTTTTTCATTCGAATGTGGATTTTTATTTTAAATTTGACGAATATTCGAAATTCAAAATTTTTTTGACAGCCTTAGAGGAAAGCTAAGTGAACGCTTTCTTTAAGCATTAAAAATCATGCTTTTAAATGAAAAAAACAAGGCTTATTTAATCTAAAGATCTAAACAAGCATGTTTTTGGTATTTATGTGCCATACCGCACAGACTCTGGCCACTCTGGTGTAAACGGCTTTGTTTCCACCCTCCATATTGGTCACTCGTTCCGTGAAGAAGTAGTAGACCTTATCATCAGCAAGATCATCATTGTCAGGGATCACTGCCGAACCCACAAACTTGGGCTCTAGGGGAAAATAAAATACAAAGAGATATGGTTAGAATTACACAGAAACACATAGTTGTATATACTGGTAAAAGTTTGGATTTTTTTTTTTCATGTTTCTGAAAGAAGCTTCTTATGCTCACCAAGGTTCCATTTATTTAATCAAAAAATACTGTAAATATTTTGAAATATTTTTACAATTTAAAATAAAACTTTTACATTTTAATATATTTTAAAATGTTATTTTTTTCTCTGACGGCAAATCAGAATTTTCAGCATCATTACTCCAGTCTTCAGTGTCACATGATCCTTCAGAAATCATTATAATATGCTGATTTGCTGCTCAGGAAGCATTTATTATTACAGCTATAACATTGCTTAATATTTTTGTGAAAACTATTAATTTATCAATTATTATTGGTGCTCAATTGTTAATAAGGATTCTTATTATCAATGTTGAAAACTGTTTGTTGCTTCTTAATATTTATACATTGCCATTCACAACACATTTATTCAGCAAGGATGCATTAAATTGGTCATTAAAGACATTTATAATGCTACAAAGGATTTCTATCTCAAATAAATGCTGTTTATTAAACTTGCTATTCATCAAAGAATCCTAAACAATGTATCACGGTTTCCACAAAAATACTAGAATGACCATGATTCTGAAGGATCATGTGACAATGAAGACTGGAGTAATGATGCTGAAAATTCAGCTTAAACATGCAAAACAATGTGTAGAATGTGGAGATCAAAATTATAGAACAATCTATAAATACTTGATTTTTTCGGAAATATTGTTAATCTTCACCGCTCAAAATTTGAAGGAATATTAGCTGTAGGTATACCACTAACATGTTTGAAAAAATAACCAAGGCATTTCAACAAAACCTTTATTTTGTGGAAAACACAGTGATCAAAATTTGAGAACAGAAACCACTTTTGCATGAAAGACGTTTACAACTAAAATTCTGGAGTGTTACAGCTGTCAGAAATTAGTAGGAAGTGTAGAGGCCCTTGCTTTGAATGACTTCAGCACATCTGCGGCCACAGGACATCACTAGTTTTCTCACACTGAGCTGACGTGATCTTGACCCGCTCTTCTTCCAGTCTCTTTCATATTTCGTAACTGTAGTGGGTTTCTTAGCCTTAACATTGTTGCCAGGGATTTTCCAGAGGTTTTCAGTTGGGTTTAGATCTCTGGGCTGGCCATTTCATTATTTCAATGTTCTTAGCTTCAAGAAACTTCTTTATCTGTTTTGCAGTGTGACGGAGGCATTGTCCTGCATGAAAATTGCAGGCTGATTGGGAGATGCTTGCAGGGAAGGTACCGCATGTTGCTGAAGAAAATTCTGATAAACATTTGCATTCACTCTACCATGCACATAGATATAATATTTAAGAGGCCCAACTCCTACTGCAGAAAACATTTACTAAACCATGACACTTCCTCCAATTTTCACTGACTTCTTTACGCACTCAGGGTTCAGTCTTTTCCCAGTTTGATGCCCAACATAATGTTTCCCATCAGACCCAAATAAATTAAACTTGCTCTCATCACTAAAGTGAACTTTGGACCAGTTCTCCTCTGTCCACACAATATGCTCCTCAGAAAAGGTGAGCCTAGTCTTTTGATTATTTCTGCTGATGAGAGGCTTCATCACTGCAGAGTGCGTTTTCAGTCCGACTTCTCTTAAATGGTCCGAGACAGATCCATGCCCTGCTCAGCGCTGAACTGGCAAGCAATTCCAGCTGCAGTGTTGAACCGATTCCTCAATGAGAATCTCCTCATTATCCTGTCCTCTCGTGCATTTGTCTTACGTGGACGACCAGCCTTTTTGGGGAACTTGAATGAATTAGTGTCATTGTAAAGCTGCAATATTCTAGAAATCACAAATTTGGAACGACCAACTTCTCTTGCAATAGCTGAAGGGGTCATCCCTTTGGATTTCATCTGGACTACCTCCTGTTGCAGGTTTTCAGTCAGCTTAGACCGACCCGCCATCTTACAATCTCAGTGAAAATTAGAGGACTGCTGCCAGTTAAATAGGGTTTGTCATATAATTTAATAGAAATTAGCACCGGGCGCCAGATTAACACCAAAAACTTGGAAGCATTTTTAAGTGTTTTTCTAATTTTTTTTCAGAGTTTTTTTCTTCTTTTTTTTTTTTCAAATATTACGTTTTTTACACTGTGCTTCAGAATACAATTGATTTATGAAATATGCTTAGAAACGGCTCCTCTACTCCTGATAGGATAACTTCAAATAAGACTAAGCAGTGACTTTGAAATTTAGGAAATTGTAGGTTGTTCTATAATTTTGATCTCCACTGTACATCTGTCATTTTAATGTGCAAAATGCATTTGCTATATGTAACCTAATTTGAATAAACCCACTATCTTATTATACAGTGTGATCCGCATGTCGAAGGCCGCTACAGCTTTGTGCAGTGAATGTGAGTGGGATTAGATCTTCAGTGCTTCATGAGTCAGCAGCGAGAACACTTAACACCAATTAACACCATTCAAAACAAGAACAGAACTCAACCCCAGACTATTGAGTGTACACACAGAAAATGTAAAAGTCTCCATGGAGTCGTGCTCTATGCTCTATTGTGCACTCGTATGATATCGAGCAGATGACCTAAGGATGTAATGGTATTTGACCATGGTTTATTATGTCTGAATGGATGTTAGAGAGATGGATGGTATGTGTCAAACATCTCGCACTCGGTCTCTCTGTATGATTAATGCATCACAGCAGGGGTTGGAATCAGCTGTGAGATTTGTGAGACAACACTGTATTCTTAACACAGACTCAACATCTGTCTGACACACAGTTTACTCTACACACACTCAGGCTATCTTCAGAATGAATACAAAAGATTAATTCATGCATCATCCAATCAGAATTTAAAAGCCCAAACTATCTGCTCTTAAATGCACATTCTGGCAATTGTTGAAGATCATCTATCTATTCAATCTATTCACAGTATACATACAGGGTAGCAAAAATAGTAGCAGTAGTAGTATTGTAGTACACTATTGTGAATATATCTTCAGTCACACTTGGCTTGGAGCTGATGTGTTAACTGCACCTACAATGAGGCCACAGGCCTTGCTACATTGATACGCATGGTAAAAGCATCACTCTCACTGGGTTCAGTCGTATCAGTCTGGGCTGAAGGCCAGATCTCCCGTACAGATACAGGAGGAGATATACAGCAAAGGGAAGCATTAAACCGGCTCACAGCAGGATGCCGCAGGCCTCTCTAAACCACACACAGGATGGCCTGTACATCAATCTTGAATTCTATTTTATTGCTCCATTTGATTCTATGTATGCACATTTATGTGTATGATTGTTTTATATCCAGTAGCTATACTTTTAGCGTAAATTAGTTTTATTAAGTGTGATGTAATTTTATATGACACCATAAAAAATCCTCAATGCTTTGTTTAAAAAAAGAGAAAGGTTTTGTTATTTTTCTTTTTTTTAATAAATAAAGGCCTCACAAAAAAGTGCATTTCCATTGTGACGAGTGGAGCGGGGCCGAGAGCCGTGGGAACGGAGCGAGGCCGGTGGAGGAAATGATAATGAGCAACACCTGCGCTACTCACCTCGAGTCCCACGGAGGAGCTCCGGAAGGATAAAAGGAGGAGTAACGACAGTGAAGGACGAGAGAGGACCAGGCCTGGACTATTTATGTTGTTGTTTTATTATGTTTTATGCAGCAGTCATCCCGTGAGGGGCTGCCGCTTTTACTTTCATTTTGTGTTTGTTCATTTGTTTATTAAAGTTTTATGTTTAAATGTTCGCCGGTTCCCGCCTCCTTCTTTTGGCTACGAACATTGTTACATCCATTATAAAAAGCTTTAATGTAAATTATGTTTATAGAGACATTTGTTGTAAATAATACATACATTTTAAATAAAAAAATATTTAAATAACTAATTAAAATTGGGAGTATAGGGAGTAAAAAAAACATAGTAATGCAATGTAATATTTTTTTTACTGTAATAATATTTCCAAATATTCATAAAATGTATTTTTCACAGTACAAATTGGGTCATTATATATGAAAATATATAGCTGCATTTTAAACTTTATCATTTTTGGGGGTCCATGTTATCTAAAAACCCCTGGTGTAAATAACTGCTAGCTTTACTGTAGTTCAAATTATGTGTGGTTTGTAGGTTGGCAAGTTCCAGTTTCAAAGCTTGTCAACCAGCACAGTCTTTCTGGTGAAGCCAGTTGGCTGGTTAAGCTAATTTAAAAAATAAAACCTTCTTGAGGACACCAGAAAGCATTATCTACAACACAAAGGGCTTGTATTTTCAACAGTTTTTTCTTACCATTCAGCTGCTGTCTGTCACCCACTTCAGTCCTAATGAAGCTGCGGTTGCCTAGACGATATAGAGCGGCATCGTTCTCCCAATAATCAGTGTACAAGCCAACAAACAACTCCCCACCTGTCAATCAAACATGATTGAGAGAGAGAGAGAGAGAGTGAGAGAGAGAGAGAGAGAGATGCTTATTGGATTTTATACTGTAAAGCTGAAGTGTTTTTGCCAAGTATTTAAATAAATTAAGCAGTTTCAATCTATTAACTTAAAACAGTTCAGTAGTGTAATGATTTCATATTTCACATGACATTTAACAATAGTATATATATCAACATTTAATGACAAACGTTGCATCCCTAAACACTTAAATGGGTCATATGATGCGATTTCAAATTTTCCTTTCTCTTTGGAGTGTTACAAGCTCTTGGTGCATACAGAAGATTTGTTAAGTTGCAAAGACTAAAGTCTCAAATCCAAAGAGATATTCTTTATAAAAGTTAAGAGTCAGCCACGCCTACCTAAAACGGCTCGTTCTAACACGCCCCCACATATCTACCTCACTATGTGGAAATATTAGCATAATGCCGCCCAAATGTGCACGCAAAGAAAGAAGGCGTGGTTTCAGGAACAGCAGTAGTGTTGCAGTAGTGCAGCCATGTCAGGGAGACGCTGTGTTTCAGTGCGAAAGCAAAAGCACTTTATTTGGCCTTCCGGAAGTAGATGCAATTAGGAATCATTAGTTAAGATTTATTTACAACAGAACAGCACAACCCAGATGTTCGAATTTGTGCAACGCATTTTATGGATGATAGTTTTTTGAACCTAGATGATTACAAGGCTGGCTGTGCACAAAGGCTATTTCTAAAAAAAAAAAAAAAGGGCCAATTCCGACTTTGCTATGACAATCTGGCGCTTCTGAATCAGCGACTGTAAGTATGTTTTGTTATTAGTTTAAGTATTTGTTATTGATTGTTCAAATGTGAATAATGTGTTTTTTGAACATTAAAGCATGTCAACATATTCTGTTACACCAAATACACAAAATAATGATCTTTAAAAAAGCATCACATGACCCCTTTAAAATAACTGATTCAAAATAACAATTTATTCATAAATCAGTCATCTCCACCATCTTGAGTCATGCTAATATTTTCTAATATTTTCTTTCTCCAATATCAGTTTTCCATCTCTTCACCTGCCTTCCTTTCCATTCCTGACTGCTTATTCTTTCTCTATCATTTTATTTTCCTGCTGTGTTTTTGAACCTGCTGATTTCTCCTGCTAGTCACGCTGTTGTCGTGGACTAAATCAATACAGCTGTGCAGCACGGAGAGAAGGGAAAGAAAGCTTCAAAGCATACTGAAGCTCTGTAAAACACACACAAACCGCTCACCGCTGCATTGACTTATACTGATCTTTCTGCCATCTAAAGGATGCTGCAAGGAAATGGAATAGTCATGACTGCACTAAACAACTCTTTATATTTGCATTTTAAATTTGGAGTATGACTTTTAAGTCATACCTTGCAGAAACGTGTCAGGAATGAGAAGAAATAGGGCGGTTTTGCACTGTCTGCAGCACCTGTAACAGCTGGAACTAAAACATAAAGGCTAAGGGCACAAGAGTGCCAAGATGAAACGCGTGTGTATGTCATGGAGATGTTCTGGTGTGTGGGTGTGTTGTAAGTGAACGCGTGTGTCTGTGCTTCATATCTTGGCAGTATATCATGGCGTGTAACTCCTGCTGAAGGTTTTACTGGGGGGCAGGAGGAAACTGGCCTGATCACAGACACAGGTTTAAGCACAGCATTGGTCTCTTTGCTGGGTCAAAGGCATTACAACCAAGATACGAGGCCTCTGTCTGTCTGTGCCCCTCTGCACACCCCTGGTCTGGCTGTGGGTTTTGAGAAAAAAGCTCTGGTAATGTGTTTGTCATATATTGAGATACCACTAGGTGACACTGCAGACACTGTAAATAACGGCCTCTTCACCAGTGTGAGTAATATGCGGTAAGTCACGAAGTAATGATCAAAAGGGCAATATCAATTTAGTATCTAAATATTCTTTATTACGAACGATCCTTATGCTGGGCCGGCTGGGCGAGACTAAATTAATAACCCAGCTGAAAACAGTCTGCAGCTGCTTTCAGAAAGGAAGTAATCAAATTCATCTCTCAATTTCCCTTCAATCAAATCCTGCCGCCATGCGGATGAGCGCTCTGAAGGATTGGAGCTGAAGTGTGTTATGTAGAGCTTTCATGCTCGGTGGCCCCTGGCTCAAAATGCACTCTCTTCCTTTCAAAGCTCAGAGAAAAGGAGAAGGGGGGAAGCTACAGAAAAATAAAGATATATTGGGATGAAATATATTTGGATGTAAAAAAAAGAAGGAAAAGACTGAGAATATCAAAAAGATGAAAGGATGGTGGACTGGAGGAGAGGTTTTTCTGTAGAAAGCTTCAGGAATGGATGAATGCTTACGGTGCACTGTGGATGCTGAAGGGCTGTTGGGATGGAATGGGCATCTTCCTCTGCCGCTCTCTATGTGATCAGACTCCAACCTGAACCCTCCTTCCTGCTCAGACGAACACACACACACACACACACACACACACACGTTTAACAAGCTAAATGTAATAATACATTAAAATCAATAAATATATATTTTATTTATGAAGAAACAATATAATAACAATATTATTAAATCAATCAATCAGCTGATTGAACAGAAACATTAAAATTATTCCATCAAAAATAATGTTTTAATGACATTTTCACACTCAAAAAAACATCTGTTCATCACCAGCATACATTGTGTTTTTGTAATAACACTACAAATAAATAAATAAACGCATACATACATACACTGTTTCTTAAGAACCTTTCATGAACACAATGCTTTTCAGACTAATAAAATTATATTTACTAACTATACTACTATACACTATATTTACAATAGCATTATTTGACATTTATTGATGTTTCAAGTAGTAGTGGTAGTAGTATAAATAATAATAATAATAACAATAACAATAATAACAGTTTATTTATTTGATAATCTTTAATAATAATAATAATACTAATAGATAAATCAATCAATCAATAATTCAGCTTATTTAACAGAAAAAAAAAATAAAGTATGGAAAAGTATAACAAGTAAAAAAATAAAGCTATTCCCCCAAGCATTAACGTTTGACTTATTTTTCTATTGACATTATTCCCACTGAAAATGCCATCTGTTCATCACCAGCATACGTAGGTGTTTTTGTATGCTTGAGCATGAGATCCCCAGCATGAGTTGCTAATATGCTTGCATCCTCTCTAAAAAGCTTAACCAGTGAGAGTTTGTCAACCAGCTTCAACAGAAACATCATGCTGGTCGAGCAGCTCCAGTAGTAGTTTTGCTGGTGAACAGCATGGAAAGTCATGCTGGTGTAAGCTGGTATTTTCAGCAGGGTAGACAAAATAGAAATCTGACACTGCATAGTCTGCAGTTCTTAGCACTGCAGCAAGATGAATCAAGAAAAAAAGAAAAAGAAAATAATCAATCAGCCTGCGGGCAGATTGTATCATAGAGTATAATGTATGAACGCATCATTATCAGTGTATATTACAGTAGCTTTTCATCAAAAACATACAGGCCTTCACTGCATTTCCTGCAGTGTCAGGGGAAATATAACATCCAGGTGAAGCAATGAAGGGTCAAATGAGATTGGAGAGCACACATCCAAGTCCTTCCCCACATGAAAAGCCCTTTGAAGAATCACTTTCTCTCTCCCGTTTTTGCAAAGCTCACTTTTACCAGAAGGTGACGGTATAAGCTGTGCAACATGTGTCGCAGAACAGGCTTTCCCAAGCTTGAATTATTTGTTCTCACACCATGTGATCCTGAAGAAACAAACACCAGATTTATAACACCAGTCCATCCATCATTTTCTGTCTTAGGATTGTTCTTCTACTCTTTCCACAGGAAGACGTTTTTCCGATCATTACTTCATACGAAGCAGGAATGGAAATAAATCCTTAGCCAAACCCATAACTTCAGTTTCATTTTATGAAGCATGCTGTTACATGGGAGAATTATGGGTATAAATCATAAAGGTTGGCTGTGGTTGATGTGCTGGTATATGCCGAGAGGCCGTATGGTCCTTTGCAAATGAACAAATCTAACTTAACACAGTCTTGTGATCATCAGACAGATAGCATCAGCCCTTGTGGCCAGCACACATGGTTGTGAAGGTGCCTGAAGTAATATTCGGGCCGTAGATGTGATGAAACAGTATGAGATTCACATGATAATCAGCACACCTTACGGCTGATGATTCAAACACACACACTCACATGCCCACCTTGTGGAAGGACACATGGTTCAGATTTGCACGAGGTTTGACGATCGTGTTGCATATTGTCAGGATGGCTGAAATGTTAGGTGAGAGATCACCTGAAACTGACAGTCACAGAGTACCAAATCTGAGGGTTAGTGTGAAGGGCTGGTTCAAAACTAAGTAAACAGCAAACTGAGGGGTGAAAAAGTACACAATATTGATAATTTGTAATATTATTAGTGTGTAATAATGTACTAAATATTAATAATAAAACATTGCATTTTATTTTACAATGTATTTTTATTTGAAATAAATTATTATTATTTTTTATATATTTTTTAAACAAGTTATATGAATACATTATTATTTCTGAGCTGTGTTACTTGACGTCTAACAGGTCTGTTCAGACCTCTCTCGCAGAAGAAAGATTTTGTGATAATCATTACAACAGAAACATTTAAGCAATGTCTTAAACTCCCAATTTTATGTACTCAAATTTATAAAGATAAAGATAATAAGCAATTATAAAAGTATAAACATTTATAAACAATAATGCACAGTTAATAAGCAAAAATACACGGCATACACAAATACCTATCAAGCCATTTTAATTAGATTGAATTAGAATTTTTTTTAATATATATACTTTTTACAATGGAAAGAAATGCATTTATATTAATAGTATTTCTTCTGCCTCATCCAACATCTTGCATTACATTCCCTGTGAAAAAGAAGTGTGCTTAATTGTATTGAATGTGCACTTGTAGAGAAGTTCAAATCCTAAAAGTATATTTTAGCGACGTCATTAATACAGATGTATAGTTACAAATATATTTAAATACATGACATACAAGTTTCAATAGAAATTACACTAAAATGTACAATGGGTATAGAAAAGACCCCCCCTATGAAATAATCACATTTTGTTGCTTTTTTATTGCAAAGTCTAGATGTGCAAAGTTAGTAGAGACAAATCCCAACAGACTAAAGGCTGTAATTAAAGCAAAAGGTGGTTCAACAAAATACTGACACAAGGGGGTGATCCTTTTTCCTACTCAGTGATTCTGGTTTTTATTTATTTATTATGTTTTCTGACATGTTGGTGATATATCTTTCACTTGGATGTTATATATTTTTTTAATAATAAAAACAATGCACAGATATTAAATGTAAACTATATTACATTTTAGTTCAATTGTGATTAACATGCAACATGCATGTTATTTATATTGTTTTGTATTGTTTCATATTATATATTAGGGCACTCACTATGTTTCGGAACAGATTTGTATGTGTTTATTCTGGTAAGATGTGAGTGAGGTATGATGTGGTTGTATTAGTATATAAGTATGTGTAAAGCCCATGAGAAAACACAGGGTTTTGGTGAAAGAGGAGACAGTGAGAGGGAATGGTGTGCTGTGATGTGTCAGGTGATGTGCGAATGGGCGCAAAGGGCCGGAATGGTGCTTAGATTCCTGATATTAGAGAAGGAATGCGTGTACGCCTGTGTGTTTGTGTACACGCCTCTCCCTCGCTCTCTCTGGTTCTGCACTGTCTCTCTGTAGCTTTATCAGTCTTTCCTGTCATCATAGCTACATCTGCAACATGTCATCCCAGCACTGCAGGGCCAAGTGTGTGTATAATTGTGCAGGTATGTGTAGCCATCTTCGTCACCGTGTGTATATGTGAATGCGAAGCCCATGTCTTATGTGCATGGATGCATATGTGTTTCGCATGCGTCTCATTTATGTCTCAGAGTGTTTAGGGTGTAGCTGTTCCAGACTGAGGCGTGTGCTGGCGGCCTGCAGCTCAGCGCATGAGTTATCAGGCACCCCGCTGAAGCCTGTCTCCTCTAATTAAACCCTCTCTGATCTCCCGCCTATGGCTCCCATAATGCCCGTGGCTCTCTCCTTCACCTCTGCCGGAGGGTCAGGGAGCCAGTGCTTCCTATTCCCAGCCATGAGTGCGATCTCTGAACCTGGTTGGGATAAAAAGCGGGAATGAGGTGGGAAGGGAATTCTCCATCCTGAAACCTCCAAAAGATTAAAAAGTAGTGGGGGAAAAAATTGTGAAAGAAAGCCTGTCGGCCGCCTGCCACGATGCAGCACAGGAAATAATCCAGATTCTTGGTTTCCTTCAAATAAATGTCTTCTCTTTGCTCTTTTCTTCTTGCCTGTTCCTTCAAATAAAGCTTGCTTCTCTATGATTAGCCGCTCTGTAATTTGACTGGGGCTCTCTTGGGAGGATGGAGATGTTTGTTTTCGCTTGTCTGGATGTTTGGTTGGAGATTTTAACAGAGTGAGAATGATAAAACTTCCCGTCGTACACTACAACAAACTCTATCTGTCTCTCTGGAGACTAGGCTTTCATCACAGGCGGTTGAAGAGTGTTAAATTTGCTTCAGAAAGAAAGCACCGTCAGAACTACTTTGTCACTTTTACATTATTATTGTTGGGGTTTTGCCTCTTCATTAGAGAGGTAGTGGAGAGAATGACAGGAAGTTGTTGGGAAGAGAGAGAGAGAGGGAGGGAGGCAAGTGATCGAGATACGTTGCAGACTGGACTCAAAGCCACATCACCTGCATGAGCAAAATGTCAGAATGTGAAAGTTTAACAAACAAATTAGGATTAAAACAAATGTCTGTAAATTCACCAATTATTGTACACACACTATATCTGATAAGTGGTGCATTTACAGACATAAAAGCAGCTCTGTGTATCACACAATTTAAGACTCGATTGACTGAACAACGTTCTTTCACAATAACAAAGTTTAAGGTGGTTCTGATGCCATTTAATATACCTTTGCACTGAATCTTTAACATTAACTCGGCAGTGTGAAACTGAAATCAACACATTTTGAAACCTCCAAACTTTTTTTCTTTGCTTATTGCCTTAAATTTTAAAAAAGCAAATAAGACATTTTAATAAATTAAGGATGTGTTGACCAGAGTTATTTTAGTATTATTTATATAATATTATAGCATTCATTAATATTTTGGATTAGCTTTTATATTTTCACTTCTCAATTCAATTTTAGTAATGTTATGTACTTTTGTCATTTTTATTAGTTTTGGGTTCATTATTTCTATTTAGCTGTAATTTATTTTAATATTTTTTTATTTATTTTAGTACTAATTTTTGTTTTACACTACTGTGGACAACCTGTAAAACAGGTCTGAATATTTGCTTTAAGTTCAAACGAAGTAGTGCAATGAAATGCTGCCGTTTTAGCGCTCTTATGGGAGATCCAGGTTCGAGTCCATTAACAAAGCTTGATACTGATGTATTACAATTATTAGGTTAGCCTCATTTAAAGCATGAAAAACAACTTTTCAATTTCAACTTTTCCACACAGCAGTGAAGATGTAGGTCACATTCTTACTTCTCTGCCTCTCTAAACCACCAGATTTTTAACATTCCTTATGAAAATACAATTCCATATGCTTTTAAGTATTTCTTTCCTTTCAACTGCAAACTTTCAGAGAACTGAATACCAGCCACCATGTAATCAGACAGCCCTCCAAACCAAAGGGCGCTCCTAAACCTCACGGTTACACACAGCATCTGGATCTTTTCACAAATCAAAGATTTCAGAACTCAAAACACGACCAATGTTTTAGTGTCTTGAGATGTTAAGTGCTTTAACTTGTTACCACTCTGACTGGTTTTAATTATCGCAAGTCTCTCTGCACGACTCCGGCATGTGTGGAATATAGTGAGAGTGACAGTCGCAGACTGCAGGGGTAGTTTCCAGTACGGTCTCTGGTGACAAACAACAGCACAACACTGGACAATTCATCCATGAGTCACTATGACACATTCCTTAGAAGACAAACAGGACATCCTCAAGACATGTTTTCTGGAATATAACACAGAAAGAGGACAGAAGGTGACACCGTAGCATTTTCAACCTCTCCCTACATGCGACCTCACTCTTCCTCCGATACAATAAAAAGATTCAAAGACGCTGCGGTCACGGAGGCATCTCTGAAACTTTGTTGTCAACAACTGTGACTAACACTACGGTTTTAAAACACGCCAATGCCATTGTGCAGGTTTCAATGATAAAGGCAACAGTTATTTTTCATGTTTTCCAATAAAAATCTAACCATATTTAAAATATGATGAATGTACTTTTTTTTATTACAATTTAAAGTATTTATTTTCTGTTTTAAGACATTATAAAATGTAATTTATTCCTGTGATGGGGAAGCTGATTTTTTTGCATTCAGTGCATTCTTCAGTGTCACATGATCCTTCAAAAATCATTCTAATATGCTGATTTGCTGCGCATGAAACATTTATTATCAATGTTGTAGACAGTTGTGCGGTTTAGTATTTTTATGGAAACCATAATACATTACCAATCAGATGTGTTGGTTAAGTTTAAAAAAAAAATGTTTTAATTCAGCATTAATTGATCAAATGTTACAGTACAGAGATACTTATAATGTACAAATTTATAATGCATATTATAAATATAACTATAATGTTCTATTTCAAATACATATTGTTCATTAACTTTCTATTCAAGATTTTCAATCTTCTTTTAAAAATGTATTATTTATAATATTTAAATATATTTAGAAATGACTTAAAACAAGTCAAAAACACTTAGTTAAGATTATTGTTTTTTTTTCCACAGCAGAAGATTTACCTCTGTTCCACGGCCCACTCTGATATAGGCACACACTGGGCTGAAGGCTCCAGTCCCACATGCTAACAGGTGGGTACTGTTATAATGCTGCACCAGCTTAATGTAGTTTGCACACTCAGGCTGTAAGAGACAGACAGAGATGAACAGATAAAGAAAAGAGGTTTTAAGAAAGATTTTAACACATTTCAAGATAAACACTGTAGCCATGTAACAGGATATCACTGTGTCATATATACTGTACAGGATGTATAACAGATTTACCTTCTCTCTGCCCTGCATTAAACAATCCCCCACCTGCTCCTCAGAGCTCACCCAGTGAATCTAAAACAGAGAAACAAGCGCACGAGTTCTGGTCATGTTGTTCTGGCACAGAAATGTGCTTGCTGTACTTGGCTGAATACAGTCATTGTTAACCTGACCTGTGGTTGCATGAAAAACACATTTAGATTGTCTGCACTCCCGTAGCTCTAACACTAGAGCATGTTGTTGGCAAAGACAGGGCCAATGGTTTAATTCTCAGATAATGCATAAACTGATCAAATGTAGCTACACCTTGAATGTAATATAAAAGTGTTACCAAATGCATAAACGTAATTCCAGTTACACTACAGTCTCAGAAATAAGGTCTTTGTGCCTTACTGACCCCTAAAGGGTATATATTAAAACCTTAAAAGGTACATATTAGTGCCTTTTGAAACTTTTTTTTTTCTGAGTGTGTGGAGTGCATTATAAGTCTATGCAACCCACTAATTAAGATACTCCCTAAAGTCTACAAAAAATGTTTTCACTTAAAAAGATTTCACATCTGAAGAAATAAATAGTACTTTCATAAAAGTGTCTAAAATCATGTACACTCACATGAGATGAAGACTCACATGAGAGGCCTATAAAAAAGCTATTACATAACTTGATTCTTATGTAATACCATTTACTTTATCTCAGTAAAGCCGCCTTTACTATTTCCGACAAACGTCAGACCGAAAGTCATTAATTTCCAATGGTTATTTTTAATTCTTACAAAATTCTTAATGTAGATTAGCCTTAGAAAAGTGTCGTTATCCTGAGATTTATTTAGCAACAGACGTAAATTGCTTTGCGCAATGAACTGTCATGAGCCAAATGAGATGATAAACTGTACCACACACACACACACACACGCATGACAATGCTGGACAGACATGATGCCCAAATCTTGAGAACAGCTACGTAAATGGACAAACCTCTTTGTGAGGGGCAGTGATGCGCTCCAGATTGAGAGAGTACAGGATGTCTTTTCCTCCGATGATTAGCCTTTCCTGAGTCTCATCCAGTAACATACTGTAGTGCTGCAGACGCCCCTCTCCGGCCTGGAACACCCACGTCCTGTTCAGCTCCCATAACTCTACAGACAAAAATTAGAAAGCATTTTGATCATCTGAAAATGCTATTTTTGATTGTTTAGAAAATGATTTAGTACAACTCTCCTTATTCCACATGGTTTGAGGAACCATTCATGTCCAAATCACAAAATGTGTGCCAAATTAGGGTTAAGGATTTGTTAAAGTAATAATTAAAGTAGGGTTAGGGATTTGTTAATGAAGCTGGTTGACAAAGATGGTCAAGATCAAAAGTTTACCCAAAAAGAAAAATTGTCATCGTTTCCTAAAAACAAACACTAAAACACCATAAAGACATTGTGTACTACAATCATTATCATGCTGCAACATGAGGTGATGGTCGTGGATGAATGGCACAACAATGGGCCTCAGGATCTCATCACGGTATCTCTGTGCATTCAAAATGCCATCAATAAAATGCACCTGTGTTCATTGTCCATAACATATGCCTGCCCATACCATAACCCCACCGCAACCATGGCCACTCGATCCACAACGATGACATCAGCAAACCGCTCAACCACACGACGCCATACACGCTATTTGCCATCTGCCCTGTACAGTGAAAACCGGGATTAATCCGTGAAGAGAACACCTCTCCAAAGTGCCAGACGCCATCGAATGTGAGCATTTGCCCACTCAAGTCGGTTACGACGATGAACTGCAGTCAGGTCGAGACCCCGATGAGGACGACGAGCATGCAGATGAGCTTCCCTGAGACGGTTTCTGACAGTTTGTGCAGAAATTCTTTGGTTATGCAAACCGATTGTTGCAGCAGCTGTCCGGGTGGCTGGTCTCAGATGATCTTGGAGGTGAAGATGCTGGATGTGGAGGTCCTGGGCTGGTGTGGTTACATGTGGTCTGTGGTTGTGAGGCCAGTTGAATGTACTGCCAATTCTCTGAAACGCCTTTGGAGACGGCTTATGGTAGAGAAATTAACATTCAATTCACGGGCAACAGCTCTGGTGGACATTCCTGCAGTCAGCATGCCAATTGCATGCTCCCTCAAAACTTGCGACATCTGTGGCATTGTGCTGTGTGATAAAACTGCACATTTTAGAGTGGCCTTTTATTGTGGCCAGCCTAAGGCACACCTGTGCAATAATCATGCTGTCTAATCAGCATCTTGATATGCCACACCTGTGAGGTGGATGGATTATCTCAGCAAAGGAGAAGTGCTCACTAACACAGATTTAGACAGATTTGTGAACAATATTTGAGAGAAATAGGCCTTTTGTGTACATAGAAACAGTCTTAGATCTTTGAGTTCAGCTCATTAAAAATGGGGGCAAAAACAAACATTTGTTGTTTAAGTTCATAAGAAAATGAGTCATGACTAATTTGTGAATGAATCATTCAGGTCAAAAATACAATAAATAACAGTAATATTGTGAAATATTAAAATAAAAATAAAAAACACTTTCTAGTTGAATACATTTTAAAATGTAATTTATTTTTGTGATGGTAAAGCTGAATTTTCAACATCATTACTCCAGTCTTCAGTGTCATGTGATCCTTCGGAAATCATTCTAATATGCTGATCTAGCGCTCAGTAAACATTATCATTATATGTTATTTATGAAAAATGAATGTTAAAAATAGTTGTCGTGCTTCATATTTTTGTGGAAACCATAATACATTATTTTTTAAATAGAACAGCATTTATTTGTAATAGAAAACTGTTGTAACATTATGAATGTCTCTACAATCACTTTTGATCAATTTAATCTGTCCTTGCTGAATGAAAGTATATATATATATATATATAGAGCTGCTTGAAAGTTTGTGAACCCCTTGCAGAATATGTGAACATGTTCATAATTTTAACTAAATAAGAGAGATCATACAAAATGCCTCTTATTTTTTATTTAGTACTGTCCTGAGTAAGATATTTTACATAAAAGTTGTTTACATTTGGTCCACATGACAAAAAAAATAGCTGGAATTATTAAAATAACCCCATTCAAAAGTTTGGGAACCCTTGGTTCTTAATACTGTGTGTGGTTACCTGGATGATCCACAACTGTTTTCTGTTTGTTTTGTTTTGTGATGGTTGTTCATGAGTCACTTGTTTGTTCTGAACAGTTAAACTGAGAAAAAGGTTTGAACCTTAAAAAAGGTTCAAACATGCACTGATGCTCCAAAAGGAAACACAATGCATTAAGAGCCTTTTAAACTTTTGAACAGGATGAAGATGTCCAAATTTTTCTTATTTTGTAGAAATATTTTTTTTTTCCATTTAGTACTGCCCTTTGGAAGCAATAGAAGATACTTGCATGTTTCCCGGAAGCAAATTAAGTACAATTTACCTTGATCTTCAAATTCAAAAAGTTTTCATGCTCTTAAGGCATCGTGTTTCTTTCTGGAGCATCAGTGAATGTTTGAGTGGATGGATGGATGGAAAGTAAAACACTTTCTGAACCCAAACTTTTGAACGGTAGTGTACATGTACAGTATGTTGAACCGTTATAAAGCTCATGACTCTAATCTCTATTCATTGCATTTCTTTCCACCACAGAGTGAAGTCAGGCAGCAGGAACAGGATTAAACCGACCACATACATGACCAAAATCAGACAAAGATGCACTGCTTCAGTGAATCGTGATATGAGAGAAATTGGATTAAATGATTAATCAAAGTATGGGATGTCAATGACTTATGACAGATTTCCTGAGCGTGTTTGCGTGTGTGCGTTGGGTTGTTCCATGGGGAGTTGCCCTCGTAATGGTCTTGACCTTCTGATTTATTCAGCGTGTGTGAGTTGACCCTCCAGTCATACACACCCAATGACAAAATGTGCTTTTCATTTTAAATGCTCTCTGGTTGCTTTAAAACTGAAAAATGGCAGCCTCCCAACACACACAGATTCAGGCAGATCCATCGATAAGTATAAACACACACACACACCACTGGATGCTGGTTGAGTTCAATGACACATGGAAAAAAAAGACAAATTAAAAGAGAGGTAAAAAAAAAGGAACAATTTAACAGAAAATGGAAATATTCTGCCATTACTTACTCATTTTAAATGTAATTTCCACCCCCGTATGACTTCCTCTTTCATTTATTGTGCATTTTTATGGAATGTCCTAACCACTTTTTTCAATATAGCTAATGAAAGTGCACAAGGATTGATGCTGTCAAGCTACAAAAGGACAAAAGGCAACATGAAAATCATAAAAATGGTTCATATGAACATACAATAAAACAGAAGCTATAGCTCACTGGAAGGAAACATCATAGAATAATAGCTTATATTTCACCACCCAAATCTTCTATCATATCACTTTAGGAAAGTCGCTTGAGTCGTATCAACCAATGTTTTGGTGTCCTTTAAGAAGCCTGAAAGCTTCAGTCCCCATTCATCATAACTGCGTGAAAAAGAGAGACCAAAATTATTCTTCTCTGTTCCAAACAAGAAAGAAAGTCATACAGGTTAGGAATGAAATGAGGGGGAGTACATTTTCAATTTTGTGTGAACTAATCCTTTAAAAGAGCCACTTGGAAAGTTGAAGGGCATAAGCATGTATGGAAAGAAGATAAGGGAAGCAGACAGACAGATAAGGGATAAAACTGGATTACTGAAATGATAGCAGCAGGGATCAAGAAAGTGGAACGCGAACGACAAGGTCAAAGACAGACATTTAAAGAGGCAGACTTTGATCACATTTTAATGTCTGAGAGCAGTTCTTCTGAAAGACACTCAACGTGTCTTTAATTATGTTTATGAGTCTTGCGGTTAATAGAAATGCCTTAGGATACACACGAAAACACTTTAACAAGTAACACTCACAAAAACACACACCCACACTGTTCAAGTTCATTTGGAAGTCAGTCTAATACCTCACTCTGTTCTTTTACAGGGGGGTCTACACTCAAGACTATACTGAAAATCTGGGATTCAAGATCTAAAAAAAGTTTTAGGAATGATTTTGAAACATTATGACATAAAATGACCCAATATTTAAGAAATGCTACATGACAAAGAGAAAAAGATGACAACAATGAAGAAAACAAAGAAGATGAATAAGATGAAGTAGATGAAGACTACTATTAAGACAAAGAATACAAGGAAGATGACAAAGATGAAGACAATAATGATAAGACGACAAAGAAAAAGAACGTTGTTTATTATTATTAAATAAGCTTAGAAAAATGCTAAATATAAGCATTTTTACTAGTGGTCTCAAATGTTGGACTAAGTATACAGTATGTGCAACATTGTTTATTTAGATGTCCATATGGTGTCGTCATGTTGAAAGCCTGTGAAACATTTTCTTCCAATCTGTTAAAAAAAAATCACAATCACTTTTAAAGTGTCAAGCACCTTAAACAACTTGTGGCGCCCCTGTTGGCATTTTGAAAGAACCAAGAGTGTGTTAAGGAGAAAAATGAAAAGAATCACCGAATGCCTTCAGGAATCATTTCCAGTTCCCTGACCATACATACAGTAAAATAACAAACAGATCGGATGAATAATTTCACATTTCATTCGCTCTGATTAATGATGTTAATTGATGTTTATTTGACCCGTCATTTTGTTTTATTTGCATTCAACATATGAAATCAATTCCACTAGACCTCTTTCATTCATTTTGATTATGAGCTTCTTTTTCATTCTAAATCTATGGGTTTGGCCTCTTGTTCATGAAGATAAATGAGACAGATAAAAGAAAGAATGAAAACTAGACTTGGCTCATGATTTGACTGGCCTCTATACGTGATGTTTCACAGGGAGGGTTCATCCACCATAAATATTTATTTAATATACTCCATTTATCAACAGAAACCACAATGAAGAGACATAAAGGGTCATAATGTTTATAAAGAGACCTTGTGTCTAGAACAAACAGCAAATTGCACATGTCCCAACACAAGCCAAAAAATAATAATCCTGAACTCCCCGAGGCAATGAGCATTTTAACCCCTCACCGTTATTAACACAGTGGCCCTGACCGGGCAAGGGTCGTACCATTAGGCTGTTCAGCGGAGGGGTAGGGGAAGA